TCAAATATAAGTGCTGAATTTGGAGTAGCAAACACCCCTAAAATTCGTGTAATGCTTTGCCTTTCCCTCTTTCAACGTGCAACAATCGGCGAAAAAAATTCAAGAAGCACAACAATCGGCACAAATAAATTCAAGAAAGAAAATTATCAGGAAAAGGAAATTCAAGATACAAAATAAATGAGTTGAAGCTGCAAGAAAGGGATAAGCCTGAGAAACCAGCACTTTACTTATTCATAAGAGATAAACAAGACACTAATTCTATTTTCAAGAAAAATATAAATATTTAAGCAATAAAAGCGATTGAACACAAGAATGAAACCCTAAGAATCCAAATTTTATAGGAAAAGACCAATTTATAACCCTTAGAAAAGAAACACCAAATAGCAAAAGATTTCAGAAATCTTTAATTCACTCACCTTTTTAATCGGAGGAATGGTAGGTCTCGGTGGTTGTAGCGTTAGTGGGTAAGAGAGACAGACTTAACTTACATACTAGGAGTGTGTTTGCTTTGGGAAAGTCGGTTTTGCATTTGCTTAGGAAAGTGTGATTTGAAAAAATAATATTGAGCCTATCTTATTTCTCTTATACTCATATTTGGATATATATTTTTGGCCCAACACTACATACATCATCTTAAATAAACTCACATTTTTTATGGGTTTGAATGATTAAATTGGGGTGTATTTGGGTAATAGATATTTTTACCCACAAGAATATATGGGATATAAATATTACTCTTTATCTTAAGATTTTTTAATAATTTAATATTTAAACCATCATTCAACACTCCATCCAAACAAAGTATCAGATTTGATAAATGTGGGGTCTACTACTTCTTAATACTTGAACTAACTATGGAAGGAGGACACATTATCTCTATATTTACTCCAAGACCCATAGATAGATAGACAGATAGATAGGGGATTGATGAAAAGGAGGTCCCAGCAGAAACATATCAAGTCCCTATTAAATTATCATAGTGCATATACATGCCCCTAGACATCCTGTATAGTCCAAAGTCACCAAGACATAAGGTAATGTAACGTATTGTGTGTAAATCTGTAATTTGTGATCTGGAGAAGTCAAAGTAAGTACCTCAATAATCTCTTTTGAAGGAAGCATGTTGAAAACCCGGAAAAGCACAAACTAAGCAATATGGCAGAGCTTTGGCTTCGTATTCCATTCTTGAACGTATTCCAAAAGTAGACGATATTCCTCTTTGCCAAGGGCATGACAAGCTTTCTCAATCTAACCTTCAGCATGTCTCTTCCTGCAGAGGATTTGGGTTCAGAGAAGGTAATTGCAAGCTGCATAGACGACCCAAGAGAAAGGAAGAGAGATTTTTACCTGCTAATTTCTCCAAATAACTTTAAAAGCATATGAGGCCTGCGTAGCTCAAAGGCAATTTGGACTGCTTTGGTTTAATCTGCATCTAATACAACATTTTCTAGCTCTTGACCTATTAAAATGCCTTCCTCTTGCATCACCAACACAACAATTCCATCAGTTAAACTAATAATATCAAACTGGAAAGTAAGAAAGGGAAAAATGATTACCATAGAATTGTATTTTGGAAGGGATGGAGGATGGAATGGGGATATATATATTTTTTTCAATAGGAAACAAAACTTCCATTAAGAGCAATATATAGAGTACATTGCAGCGGGCAAGGAGTCGACCGATCCCATGTGAAGACAACAGAAAAATATATCGAGAAAATTAAGTCAAAAAAAAAACTCAAGAAAAATTATACATCTTTTGCAGATCACTTGCTATTGGTGAGAAAGACAAGAGTTTGATCTTCACCTTTGCAAAAAATCTCAAGTGTGGAGCTTTCATGTAGATATGGTCTAGGCAAAAATCTACACCTTGATAGGCACTTTGGCCTTCCAAATCATCTTATGAGATTCAAAAACTAGAGAAGATGGATCATCAATCAATGCATAGAAGTAAAATTTGCAAGAAAAGACACTAGATGAATCAAAGACCTACACCCTTTTATCCCCTCCTCTTAGGAACAAGTACAACTGAATTGAGCACAGTCAATGAAGAAGAAAATTCAAAAATTTCCCTTTCATTAAAGGCCCTAAGAATTTAAAATTCTATTCCCCTCAGAAATCATGAGCACAATACAAACTCGCAATGGACACATTGTGAGACCAGGACAACCTAAACAACCTAGAGAAAGACAAAGCAAAAGGAGAATCTCCAATCCAAAAATCTTCTCCAAAACAAGTTGTCACCATCCTCCACTCCCACTTTAACATACTCCCCGAAACCGTTGAGACCCAATGAAATAAACTTCTAAGGACACCGACAAGAGCCTCTAATCACCACATTTAAATGTCACACATTAAGTGTAAGTCCATATTTGCTCTTGATAACAACTTGCCATAAAGACAGTGTTCAAGTGGAAACCTCCACAACCACTTTCCTAACGAAGCAACATTTATCTTTACCAAATTCCCCACCCCAAACTCTCCTCTAATCCTAGATTTTGGCACCACCTCCCACCTATCTAGATGTTCATTCTTTCCATCCCCGCTTCCTTCCAACAAAAAGTCTCATCAATTTTTTAGTCAAGTATGCTATCTTTCTAGGGATCCTAAGCAAAGACGAATAATAAATAGAAATGGTAGCCAATACCGCCTGTACCAAAATAGGTCTTCCTCTTTCCCATAAACAAACCCTTTTCTACCCTTTCAATTTCTTTTGCACCATTTCAACCACGGGGTTCCAAAAGCCTAAGCACAAAGGATTACCCCCAAGGGTAGCCCGAGGTTTTTAAGGGGCCAATCCCCACCTCATAACTTACCCTCCCATACATCATATCTAACTTTTCTTTATGACCATTAAATCCTATAATCAAACTCTTTGACATATTGACTCTTAACTCCAACATCAACCTGAAAACATCAAATATATTCACTAAATTTTGAAATTTTACAACACCAAACAAGAAAAAGATAGTATCATTTCCGAACTATATGCATGACACCCCAACAAGGTCCCTTCCACTTTATAATATTATACTCCATAGCCCTATCTACTAAACGACTTAGTTCATCCACCACCAAGGTAAACAAAAATGGTGACAATGGATCCCTTTGCGTAAGAATCCTAGTGGTATTAAATCTCCCTCTAGGCTTCTCATTTACCCCCCATCGAGAAATTCATTGCCTCTAAGCACCCCTTAATCCAACTCCTCCATTTAATTCCAAAACCTTTTACTTCAAGCAAGGATCAAAATATCGTTTCGAAACGGTCGAAACGAATCAGTGATGGAATCAAAATTCTAATATTTCGAGATGTATTATAATATTTCAATTCATTTACACAATTATTTTGGAATATTTCAAGGTATTTCAAGATACTTTGATATATTTAAATCAATGTTTTAGAATAATAATTCTTAAATTTTTTTATTTTTTTTCATTATGTTTCCGAAACGTGTTGAATCGTTTTCAAAATACATCAGAATATTTCCGTTTCCAAGGTGACCGAAATAATATACCGAAACAAAATTTTGATCCTAGACATCAAGAATGAAATCCAAAAAGTCGCTATTTAACTTGGTCATATGTTTTTTCAAAATCTATCTTGAAAGCCACACCTTGGTGGAAGGGGGAATATTGGGTCCAAAAAATGGAGTGCTTACATGCCAGAAATCTATGGGGTGCAAAATTTTCCACAAGCAAGTGGCAATCACTACACATGCCCGTACCCTTATGCATGTATAGGTTAGTTTTGCATGCTGAGGCGTTTGACTCGAAGAACTATACATCAAAGTGTAGTAAAAAACTCCATTTAGACATCCAAACACTAAATCAGTGCCTGGCTAAAACTATTGATGCCTAAACTCCCAAGGTGACATGTGCCAGTCACATAGCATAATCCTCACAATAATAAATAAATGTTGACATGCTAAGATATGGCAATAAATGTAATACAATGGATATTTTACAAAGATTTCTTTGCAAAATACAATTGAAATAGTCAGTCATTGCTACGCAGTCCACCGACCTGTATCACGTCCCATCCCATGTATGTTTCACGAATATATTTTTTCTAAAGAACAGTATTAGTAACTAAATTGTATTACGGACAAATTATATTTTAATTATTCGGTAACATTTCTAGGATACATACCCTCCTTGTCTCCAAACTCCATCAATAAAGGAGAATATCTCATTACTATGTTCTAAAAAAATGAGACTGATCAGTTCATTCATAGAGATGGAGAGAGAAACCAATCTTCATTTCCGACAGACACAAGCACACACAAACACACAGAAGCATTAACGCCAAACAGAGAGGAGACTCAAACCCGATTAGACTTGCTCTAGACCAACACCACACACCCTCTCTGAAAATCCACCCATCACCACCACGACACCCCCCTCTCTCAGACACAAAACTTCAGTTGTTCCCACTTATCCAACCTACATATCAACAGGCACCATCTCCCCAATTTAGATCACGATGGCCACACCATTTAGACTATCCAACCTTTTTAGACATCATGGTAATTGTTCTAGCTTTACTTATCTGCATAACCTGATAAATATGACTACAATTTATAGATCAAAAGATTGAATTAGAAATCGAAAGAGCTGCATAATGATAACTAAGTGCATGCTAACTTTTACTTGAGATTTGTTATGTAAAAAAGTTTTCCAACTCATTCCACAAGTATCCATATGAAGTATCTTATCAAAGGCTTGAACTGGTCGTTTAGCTAATCTCTCTCTAACAGAAAAAATCTTTTAACCATCCAATGCAGTTTTCTAGACGTGTGAAAGAGTTGTATTACTGGAAGACCTGATGTGAAATAGGAGCATCTTTTACATTACACATTATCAACATAAGTAATCCCAAGAAAAGAATGGGAAACAATTGCCTAATCTAACCTTATCTCATGTGATTGCAAATATGCTCCCTTCATCCCAAACACAAACACAATACTGAGCAAAAATAGAAATATAACTCACAATCAACAATCAAGACAATAGAGCTGGGCTTGTGAAGTTGGAACGCTTGCAGTCACAAGTGCATAGGCTTCTAGATTCTTTCACTACACGTTGTGACCTCCGGGTATGAAGCTTGATGTTCACCAACTTACCCGCTAACTGTTAACACAACCAAAGATCAAAAAGAAATCAAATTTGTCAGATAATTATTTAGTTTTAATTGCTCCTCTTAAACTAGAAATCATAAAGGCAGGCAATAAACCACATTCCTGAAAATCTCAAAGTGCTTTTTACCAAGGCACTTGTCCATGGAGTTTGCTCGTCAAGTAATATTAATCATAAAAGTATGAAACCAAGTACTTCATTTTCAAAGCTTAGCTATCTTAAGCACTTTAAGAAAATTATCACTCTGGAGAGATACTAAAAGGCAGACTAAACAGTTCACTTCTTGATCCTTCTTTCTCATCTTCAACAACAATTAAAATCACAAACAAAAAACCTAATGTATTCTAAATAGGACGAATGAATAACAAACCATTCTCCAAATCAAGTCTTCTAGACCCATAGGTTGAGCTGGATGGGAATATAGGAAATGCCTTGAGAACTGTAAGCAAAAGATGTTAACAAAGTGAGGAACAAAATGTCGTATATGTATTTAATTTCATAAAGATAGAAAACCAACATAGAAGTTCTCGACATCTCTAATTGGTTAAAGTAAGAAGCTTGTAGGTCAAATATTCCAACTGACTGATTGGATTGCATCATGTTATTAAAGGGTTATTTCCTTTTGTTTTGTTGAGATGTAATGATTTTGATGTATTTTCCCGTATTGTGTCCTTTATGGGATGGATCTCTCATCCACATCTTTTGTAATTTTTTTTTTTCAATTACTGAAATTTTTGTTTCCTATCCGAAAAAAACAAAAATCCAACTAATTAACCTGATGAACAAAAGAAGTACTAGCACAAGTATCCAGAACGTATTTGCAGAATCAGACCTTAGCTAAGTTCATTTGCATTGCCCTGATTTGAGCAGGACTAACACTTTTGAGGAACTTTAAAAGTGATCTCGGCTGCATAGCCTTGCTCGAAGAAACAAACAAAGCTATTCGCAATAAATTGACAAATGTGAAAGCCCCATCAAACCAATACCAATTGTTTTTTATCGGCTAAGTAGAAGTTCTAGAAGAATAAAAGCTCTAGAAGACCACATGGCTGGGGAAATTTCTAGTACACACGCATACAAAGAAGTGCCAATGGCTAAACAGAATCGAAGAAATCACCCAAAAACTTTTCCGAGGTTGATTGTACATGGATATCACATCTTATTGCAAATAGAAGTTAAAAATTGTACTCAATCACATGTACTTTAGCTTATTATCCAATACCAACTATTCAAGGAAAGGAAACCAACATAAATACACAAAGACAAAGATGAGATAGTTTGCAATTCAAATGATGCAATCACATTGTTTTACAAGCTATGCCTGTTGTGGCCAAACTGTTAACATAATTGATTAACAAACATCTAGAGAAGGAATCAACTCACGAGTTTTCAAATTCTTGATGTGAAGTAGCAGATTCGTCAAAATTTCCAAAGAGGGTAGACAATAATATAAAATTCATTCCATAAAACTAAAAGGATTGGCAACTAATAACGCAATTTAAACAATGAATCTTAAACAATAAAACAAGTCATTATATCCTTCCCCTTTTGGAAGGTACTTATCAATTTAGCTTAATATACGGTTTGCCACACAAGCAACTAATTTCCTTGTTCCACAGTTCAGTTTCTAACTAATTGTGTCAAATATCAATTAGAACAACGATGTCAACATACATACCAAATTTGTCGAAAAACTGGAAGTATCAAAAAAACCAATAGCAGAAATCATAAATAAGATATCATAACATGATAGGCAAAATGCTTCATAACCCACCCCTACGTCATAATTATAACCATGTTTGAAATTACCCATTAGGGTTGTCACAATATCTGTTGGAAAAAAATCAAAAGCAAGACTTTTTACCTAGCTTTGTACTTTTATGATAATCTCTCTTTAAAATCCAAAATATGCAGTTACCTAATCATTCTATTAAGTGCGACAAAACAAAGACAAAGAAGAAAGGAATAAATAAGATGAGAGAAAAAAAAAGGTATCAAGGTCCTTAGGCACAATCAAGAGTCTAAGACCAACAAGTCAACAACAAACCAAGGCACCATCTGATTGATGCTTGCCTAGAAACAAATGTTTAAAACATACTTATAGAGGGAGAAAAAAATGTCAGCCAATGAGGAAGCAACACCTCGCAAAGCATGTGATAGAGTGTGCCTAGGATTTATGGTATACTAGTCGCCAATGTCAAAACGATAACCACAATAAGCCTAAGACTTGTGACTAACTGCAAGAGACAGACCAAAAAACTCAGCAGAAGACTTGCAATAATGTCCAAACAACCAACCCATCATTCCACGTTGGCTGAGCTACTAACGACAATACCAAGCATTGTGGTGTGTCCAACCTTATGCATTCACAATGACGGGACCGACATCTCCACTGAATACAATCGAGCATTCAAGATGGGCTTACTGGTGGCTCATCGCTACGGCCTATTATGACTACATAGAGAGCATATCCTTGTGGAAGCTTGCAAATAGGTCAAAACCTTCTCATATAGCTTGCTTCTAGGCACTAACATAGGAATACCTCAGGTGTTGAGGATTACCTAATCTTCAAGGTAATCCTTGAACTTGGATTTTCGAGATCAATCCTTAAAAGGGTATCTCAAGCATGTCCCTGCTTGGCTCGGTTTAGCAAGGCCCTAGTAGGAGGCTTAGCAGATTTCTGATAGGAGAGAGCATGTATCAGAAGCAACTCATCAAGGAAACCTCAATTCTTTTGAGAGATTACTCTCGCTTAGGAACCATCTAAGACGGAGCCTGAAGTTTTAAAGGATCCCATCATTAGGGAATGTAGAAGAATCAAATAAGGAAAGAGAATCCCACAATCCATCACTGGTTCTCTAATTGTTCTCCCAGTAATTTGAAACACAATTCAAAAACACCGATGAGGCTCAAAGGTACATGTAGTTTCCACACCCACTGAATCGGTTGCAACTTTACCAAAACACCTACTCACTCGAGCAACAATGGATCATCAGACCAACACTTGTTGCCTGAGACACTGTTCCTTTTGTTGATTGTTCAGCTAAAGGATAAACATAAAAAACCATTTTTACCTGACCAGTAGATGACATTAATAGTAATTATTAAAAACTAAATGACATACAAGAATATAAAGGTTTAATGTATGCCTCGAAATGCACTCACACCCCATAAAGTGACTTGCACTGTTGTTTCTCCAACAAGAAGAAGCTTATTGTTATGAAAAAAAGAATGTAGAATAGGTTAGCCTCTTCCCGCCGATATACTCTCACAACACTCTTCAAAAGCCTTTTTAATTCTAGAGTAATCAAATCCGCCCACGGCCAGTAATCAATAGAGTGCTGCACAAAGAAAAAGAAAAAGAAATTGGAATAAAAAAAGTTACCACTGTATCCTCAAAAAATTAAACTTAGTTTAATCCTCTAAAAAATATGTTGTCAAGGAAAAAATTACTCTAAATTAGAAAACATATTACTACTCCTGTTCGATGAGTCGGTGAATAGGACTACCATTAGATGTGAGATTTGAAGTCTCTCTATATGTATTTAGAAACAACCAAAGTAAAACGTGGGTAAATTTTGATGGCATCTCGTAAACGTAAACCCTCAAAGTTAAAGGTGCCAGTGGCGAGAATGCAGGATAGAATGGTTGTTCGAAAAACCTCTCAGTCTCTCTTCAACATCAAATCATCCAACTTCTTCCCATCCTCTTTGCTCATTGTATCCACTGTATCATCCGAAACCGTATGACATATCTGATTCTTCAAGGTGGAGGTCAGGAATTCTTCGAGTGAAGCCACGAAGGAGTACTCAACTTTAGGATTGAGTTTAGAGATCTGGAAATCGTGGACAGGGCTGGTATGGGAAGGAGATGAGAACACAGAGAAGATGTAGAAGAGAATAGAGAGAGCCAAGATAGCAAGAACAAATAAGAGGATCAGAGATCTGATTTTAGGGTTTCTGAAAGGGAAGGAATGTCTTCCGGTCATTGGATTAAGGGCACACACATAAATAATTATGCATAATGGTTTCTTTTCTCTCTGTATTCGTTTTCAAGAGAGTTTACACTGAGAGATAGAGAGAGAAGAGCAAACGGGAGGGAGAGTGATCAATGTTAAGTCCAGAGAACTTGGTGCTGCAATAGTTGGAGTGTTCAAACCAAAAGTTGTATGGTGCATCGATTCATATCCACTTAAATTAACTGTTTGATATCTACGAATGTCAAAATAATAATTGAATAATAAAATCTGATCAAAAAATAATAACTAATAAATAATTGAATAACAATAAGTGAACAATAATAAATTGAATAACCCAAAATGTGAATAATAACATCTGATTAAAAAAAAGAGAAAAATAACAAATAAATAATTGAATCACAATAAGTGAATAATAATAAATTAAATAACACAATAAGTGAATAATACAAAAGAACATGAATTTTAATTGTAAAATTTAAAATATTTGATATTTTATTTTTGATTGAAGTAATTTTGGTCTAAGTATAACATTTTAAACTTGAGGGGGTCTGGATATAATTTATTATATAGCAAGGTTTAATTGTTACGGGCGTACAAAGTTTAGGAGGTCTGAGTGATTAAGGGACAAACTTCAGGGGATCTAGTTGTAATTATTCCTAAAAGAATTTAAATTTTAATTATCAAACATACCTGATTAATAATTGTCAAATATATTTCTTTTTAAGTGCTGAATTTGGATTAACAAACACACCTAAAATTCGTGTAAAACTTTGTCTTTCCCTCTTTCAAGGTGCAAAACTACCTATGCCAGGCCCAGCAAGGTTGGGTTAACCCAACGAGGTTTGATTGACTAACCTATGTCAATGAAGGCCATGAGAGGAGAGGCTAGTCATTTTTAGGGTAAATTTATATTCACTTCTCCTGAGGTTTGGTCAAATAATAACTAGACCCCCATTGTTTGAAAAAATAACACGGACTTCCCTTCTGCTTTTGTTGTCCGCAATAAGTTGTCCTTGTCACTACTATTCCATAAAAAAATCATTAGTGGTTTGATAATGTAAAAAATTTATAATTTAAAATACCAAAATTATCCTCACATATCTAACTACTTTCTTTAGAAAAAAAAATTTATGGAAACAAATAATAATACTGTTAAACCTGTCTAAACTCTACCTTGTGGCCAAAACAACCAACGCAACAATGGACCAAGACTTGGCCAGAGATGCCAAATAGGATCATCATCTTTATCAATCTATCAAAACCCTTCAAGTACAGATCGTTAATTGATCTAATGTTAATCTATTGACTTTCTCTCTCTCTCTCTCTCACTGTTTCTCTCTCGTGATGCCTTTCTATTACCACACCACCGTCCAAATCATTCATCTTCTCCATTTCTTTCTCTTTTTCTTGTTGTGGTGGTCATCGCGGTGGTTGATTGTAGCATGTGTGGATTGTGGGTGTCTGATCAGGTTTAGATTTAGGAGTCATGGCCATGGAAGGGTGGTTTTCTTCTTGGTGGGTGAGCCATGCGTGGGGGTTCTACTTGGGGTGGTTTTGCAGGTTGAGGGTAGAGTTTTATTGTGGTTTATTGGGGGGTATTTTTGGGTTTGAGGTGGGCGATCTAGTGGTAACGATGGTGGATATGTAGTGGTGGCGTTGCCATTGATTTGAGTGTGGGTGAGTGGTGGTGGTGATTCATAGGTGGCTTGGGTACTTTTTTGTGATTTTCGGTGGTGGATTGAACACGGTGGTTGATTGAAAACCGTGGTGGTGTTTTTGGATTTGGTTCCAGTTTGTGATGAATTTTATTTAATTAACAGTTAGTAAAATTTGGTATGAATTTAAGGGCAAAACTAAATTGATTTGATTTTAGAAATAAATATTTTAGATTGAGGGCATTATCGTTATTTTCTTTGTTGCTGTTAGTCAAATAGAACAGTCATTGTTTAGAAGAAAGGTCAGGGTTATTTTTCAAACAAATGAGGGTTTAATTGTTATTTGATCAAACTTTAAGGGAGATGAATGTAATTTATCCTATTTTTAACAAAACTTAATTCCACTATACTGTACCTGTATACCTATAAGCCCCTTGCAATGCTATGTCATTACTATGTTTGATATCAATTTAGTAAATCATGCACTGCCACAACAAATATATCTTAGGCATAGACTTGTTTTCCATTTCCTTGGATTGGGTCAATAAAAATAAGCAAAATCGTACCCATCCTCCAACACCATGACAACACTAGGCAAATGCAATGCATCAAAGATGAGAACCAGAATACGAACAAATAGGTCAGGATGTATATAAACATATCATCCATTTACACAACTACATCAAACATTCGATTCCGCCGCCACCAGATATGTTCATATTAAACATATTGACACATGTCTCATGAACAATCCACCCAAGCTAAAATGTGAATTACTTCCGCAATATATGCTTTAACAATGAAATAGGAGTCTTAAGTATTAAACCATGTGAAAAAAAAAAAAAAAGAAAGAAAGAAAGTATGCAATCTTGTTCATGATGGTTTTAGTCATTGAACTTCATGCCAACAACACCTAAATGGACTAATGGCAACATCATCAAAGGCTTCTTCTACTCCACCTCGAATATTTTATCTATAGATGAAACTCGAAAGCTAATCAGATCATCTTTTGGTGATGATTGCTACTTTTTTGTATCATACCCCACTTCAGATGTTCCACTTGCTTTCTTATTGAAGATCATCTCATCAAGATCATCCATCATGTCATCTTTGCTCCCTCTCGAGCCTCCACCATGAGAGCCCACTGGTTTTTGTATCAGGGCCTCTTCTTTGCCTAAGCAAGGTGATTCATCAAGCTCAACAGCAATAGGTATCATTGCAGGTTTTGGCTCTCGGAGAATCCCAGAAGATTTATTCATTTCTTCATAGTTGGATTGGAGTTTCTAAATTTCATCATTCACATTTAAGGCTTCAAAGAGCAAGACCTCAATTATCCCCAGAGGTCTTGATGATTCTCTGCACAGTAAATTGAGACTGGTGACACTGTTGTACAAGTGTGGCTATCAAGTCATCCTGCCAAAACAATTCAGAAGTGTTTAGAAATGTGGAGGAAACATTGACTTGAATATCACAATCTGACCAGTTGCGATACCACCAGCTAGAAAACTCCAAATTTTGAACAGGGGAAACAATTATCGAACTTTTGCACCATTGCATAGCACGGGCTCCAAAATGACTTAGTTCAAATGTACAAAATGAAATACCAATTGTAAGCAATAGCCTATGGTCAATTAAGTTAGCCACTAGTCTGGTACTTTTAGGGTTTTTAAAAAAACCATGTGTTATATAGAATGGATCACTGAATGAACTTTTTCACAAATACAACCAACAACTATAGCTCTCTTTGCTTGAAGCACTAAATTCTTTGTCAGGTAAATTCCTGACCAACACATTTGACAATCCAACTAAAACAATCTCAAAAAAATGTGTTTTTTTTAGCGACATTGGAAACCTAATATACCTGTAAAAAATGATCACAATGGACCCAAAATGCATGTCGATCATCACACTACTACATCCATACCTATATGTAGCCACCTCTTCCAAGATGGGTAGGTTATCATCAGTAGCATGATGATGTTGCCCATAAACGTCGCTAAGGCCTATTACCACTACATAGTGCTTATCTCCTTGTGGAAGCTAGCTAATAGGTCAAAAATTCTCATATAGCTTGCTTCTAGGCACTAACAAAGGAATAACTCAAGTGTTGAGGATTACCTAATCTTCAAGGTAATCCATGAACTTGGATTTTCGAGATCAATCCTTAAAAGGGAATCTCAAGCATGTCCCTGCTTTGCTCAGTTTAGCAAGACCCTAGTAGGAGGCTTAGAAGAGTTTTGCAGAGTTCTGCTAGGTTTAGCAGAGTTCCATTTGCATTGCCCTGATTTGAGCAGGATTAACACTTCTAAGGAACTTTAAAAGTGATCCCGGCTGCATAGTGTTGTTGAAAAAACAAACAAAGGTATCTGCAATAAATTGACAAATGTGAAAGCCTCAGCAACTCAATGCCAACAGTTTTTTATCGGATAAGTTGAAGTTCTAGAAGAATAAAAGCTTCAGAAGACCACATGGCAGGGGAAATTCCAAGTACACACGCATACAAAGAAGTGCCAATGGCTCAACAGAATCGAAGAAATCACCCAAAAACTTTTCAAAGGTTGATTGTACTTGGATATCACACCTTAATGCAAATAGAAGTTAAAAATTGTACTCAATCACAGGTACTTCAGCTTATCACCCAATAACAACAGTTCAAGGAAAGGAAACCAACATAAAGACACAAAGACAAATATGTGATAGTTTGCAACTCAGGTGATGCAATCACATTGTTTTACAAGCTATGCTTGCTGTGGCCAAACTGTTAACATAATTAATTAACAAACATATAGAGAAGGAATCAACTCACAAGTATTCAAATTCTTGATATGAACTAGCAGATTTTTCAAAATTGCCAAAGAGGGTAGACAATAATATTTAATTCATTCCATATAACTGAAAGGATTGGCAACTGATAACACAATTTAAATAGCGAATCTTAAACAATAAAACAAGAAATTATATCCTCCTCCTTTCGGAAGGTGCTCATCAATTTAGCTTAATACACGGTTTGTCACACAAAAAACTAACTTCCTTCTTCCACAGTTCTGCTACTGTATGTCACATAAATTATGAATGTGTGTGCAAGTACATTTGTACGATCCCTGAAACAAGATTTAAATTTAATTTATGCTCAGAATATCAATGCAACTCCTCATATCTAAAACCATGTAAAACATCAAAATACAAGTTACAAAACTCGACTTATTGCCCATTGACAATCATCCTAAGAGCTGAAGGTGCCAGTGGCGAGAATGCAGGATAGAATGATTGTTCGAAAAACCTATCAGTCTCTCTTCGACATCAAATCATCCAACTTCTTCACATCCTCTTTGCTCATCGTGGATAGGGCTAGTATGAGAAGGAGATGAGAATAGGGAGAAGATGTAGAAGAGAATAGAGAGAGCCAAGACAACAATAACGAATAAGAGGATCGGAGATTTGGTTTTAGGGTTTTCAGAAGGGAAGGAATGTCTTCCGGCCATTGGATTGGGCACACACACAAAAACAATTATGCGGAATAGTTTCTTCTCTCTCTATATTCGTTTTCAAGAGAGTTTACACTGAGAGATAGAGTGAGAAGGGCAAACGGGAGGGATAGTGATCAATGTTCTGTCCAGAGAACCTGGTGCTGCAAAAGTTGGAGTCTTCAAACCAAAAGTTGTATGGTGCACCGTTTCATATCCACTGAAATTAACAGTTTGATATCTACACATGTCAGAATAATAATGGAATAATAAAATTTGATCAAAAAATAAAAACTAATAAATAATTGAATAACAATTAGTGAACAATAATAAATTGAATAACACAATAAGTGAATAATAACATCTGATTAAAAAAAAGAGAACAAGAACAAATAAATAATTGAATCATAATAAGCGAATAATAATAAATTAAATAACACATTAAGTGAATAATACAATAAAACATGAATTTTAATTGTAAAATTTAAAATATTTGATATTTTATTTTTGATTTAATTATTTTTTGTCTAAGTATAACATTTTAAACTTAAGGAGATATGGATATAATTTATTATATAGGAGAGTCTAAGTGTTACGCGCGTACAAACTTTAGGGGGTCTGAGTGATTAAGTGATAAACTTCAGGAGGTCTATGTGTAATTCTCCCTAAAACAATTTAAATTTTAATTATTAAATATACTTAATTAATAAGTGTCAAATATATTTCTTTTTAAGTGCTGAATTTTGATTAACAAACACACCTAAAATTCGTGTAATACTTTGTCTTTCCCCCTTTCAATGTGCAACGCTACTTATGCTAGGCCCAACAAAGTTGTGTTAGGCCCAACGTGGTTCAATTGACTAGCCTATGCCAATGAAGTCCATGAGACACCTATGCCAATGAAGTCCATGAGACCAGAGGCCAACCATTTTTAGGGTAAATTATATTCATCTCTCTTGAGGTTCGGTCAAATAATAACTAGACCCCCATTTTAAAAAAAAATAACATTGACTTCCCTTGTGCTTTTGTTGTTGGCAATAAGTTGTCCCCATCGCAACTGTTCCGTAAAAAAATCATTAGTGGTTTACTAATGTAAACAATTTATAATTTAAAACACCAAACTTATCCTCACATATCTAACTACTTTCTTTTAAAAAATTTTTTAATGGAATCAAATAGTAATAGTGTTAAACCTATATAAACTCTACCTTGTGGCCAAACAACCAACGCAACAATGGACCAAGCCTTGGTCAGAGATGCCAAATAGGATCATCCTCTTTATCAATGTATCAAAACCCTTCAAGTACAGACCGTTAGTCAATCTAGTGTTAATCTATTGACTTCCTCTCTCTCTCTCTCTCTCTCTCTCTCTCTCTCTCTCTCGTGTGATGCCTTTCTATTACTACACCTGTGTCCAAATCATTCTTCTTGTCCATTTCTTTCTCTTTTTCTTGTTTTTGGTGGTCATCGCGGTGGTCGATTGTAGCATGTGTGGATTGTGGGTGTCTGATCGGGTGTAGAGTTAGGAGTTATGGCCATGGAAGGGTGGTTTTCTTGTTGGTGGGTGAACCATGCGTGGGGGTTCTACTTGTGGTGGTTTCGCAAGTTGAGGGTAGAGTTTGATTGTGGTTTATTGGGTGGTATTTTTGGGTTTGAGGTGGGCGATGTAGCGGTGACGATGGTGGATGTGTAGTGGTGGAGTTGCCGTTGATTTGAGTGTGGGTGAATGGTGGTGGCGATTTGTAGGTGGCTTGGGTACTTTTTTGTGATTTTCGGTGGTGGATTGAACACAGGTGTTTTTGGATTTGGTTTGAGTTTGTGATGAATTTGATTTAATTGACAGTTAGTAAAATTTGGTACGAATTTAAGGGCAAAACTAAATTGATTTGATTTTAGAAATAAATATTTTGGATTGAGGGTATTATAGTTATTTTCCTTACCTTGCTTCCTTAGTTTTTGAGTGAAGAAGATGAAGATTTGATCTTTTCCCAACTTGAATCACTCTTGAATCTCTTGTTTTTCCCTTTATTTCTTCCTCTCTAAGGTTTTCTAGGGTTAGAAGTGTTGAAATGGGGCTAAAGGAAACGTCCTTAGGTATTTATAGTGGGGAGAGATGTTGTCTTGTGCGCGATTCTGAGAGTAATACTTCATAACTGACGTTTGAACGTCCTTAGCTCCCAGTACTTTCGTTTTTTCATCAGACAAAAAGTACTGGAACGCACTGTTGTTCAAACATTATTCATGTTCGAACGTCATTCACGTTCAAACGTCTTTCCTGTTTCTGCTGAAACTTCCAGTGCAGTTTTGGCCTATTTAGAGGTAGATTTGGAAAATTTTCATAAAATACACTTTTGTAGCTCTAAAAGTCTAATATCTACTATCCAAATGTCAGATCACATAGACATTAGGATAAGAGTTATGATCCAAATACTAGGAAGTGTCCAAAATCCTTTTTACCCAAATTCTCTCTAAAGTGTGCTTTCATTCCGGAGTACTTCCAAACTTCAACAACATACCCTCAACTAACCTTTTTATTCCTACTCTTACAACCTACATGGCTCATGCATACACCATTACATATATTAGCATTTCAAAAACATAATTACGTTGTTATATAAACATACGAATGTAGGGGTTTACAAAATATATCTCAGGCAGAGACTTGTTTTCCATCTCCTTGGGTTGGGTCAATGAAAAGAAGAAAAAATTGTACCCATCCTCCAACACCATGACATCACTAGGCAAATGCAATGTAGCAAAGATGAGAACCAGAATACAAATGAACAGGTCAGGATGTATAAAAACATATCATCCATTTACACAATTACATCAAACATTAGATTCCACCGCCACCAGATATGTTCATATTAAACATATTGACACATGTCTCGTGAAAAATCCACCCAAGCTAAAACATGAATTAATTGCGCAATATATGCTTTAACAATGAAATAGGAGTCTTAAGTATTAAACCATGTGAAAAAAAAAAGAGAAAAAGAAAGAAAGTATGTAGTCCCGTTCATGATGGTTTTAGTCATTGAACTTCATGCCAACAACACCTAAATGGACTAATGCCAACATCATCAAAGGCCTCTTTTGCTCCACCTCGGAATTTTACCTGTAGATGAAACTCAAAAGCTAATCAGATCATCTTTTGGAGATGTTTGCTGGTTTTTTGTATCATGCACCACTTCAGATGTTCCACCTGCTTTCTTACCCAAGATCATCTCGTCAAGATCATCCATCATGTCATCATTGCTCCCTCCCAGGGCTCCACCACGAGAGCCCACTGGTTTTCGTATCAGGGCTTTTACATTGCCTAAGTGAGGCGATTCATCAGGCTTAACAACAATAGGCATAATTACAAGTTCTAGCTTCTCGGGAATCCCTGAAGATTTATTCATTTCCTCGTACTTGGATAGTACTTTCTGAATTTCATCATTCACATTTAAAACTTCAAAGAGCAAGGCGTCATTATCCCCAGTGGTCACGATGATTCTCTGCACAGTAACTTGGGACTGGTGACATTGCTGTACAAGTGTGGCTGTCAAGTCATCCTGCCAAAACAATTCAAAAATGTTTAGGAAATGTGTCCAAACACCGTCAATAATGGAGAATGTCTCATTACTATGTTGTCCTCAAAAAATGAGACTGATTAGTTTATTCTGAGAGATAGAGAGAGAAACAAATCTTCACTTCCGACAGGCACAAGCACACACAAACACACATAACCATCAATGCCAAATAGACAGGAGACTCAAACCCTACCCGACTTGCTCTAGACCTACACCACACACCCTCTCCGATAATCCCACCACAACGACGACGACAGCCCCCTCTCTTAGACACAAAACTCTAGATGTTCCCACGTATCCAACCTAGATATCAACATGCACCATCTCCCCAAGTCAGACCACGATTTCCACACCATTTAGACTATCCAACCTTTTTAGACATCATGGTAATTGTTCTAGCTTTACTTATATGCACAACCGGATATATCCAACTACAATTTGCAATTCAAAAGATTGAATTGGAAATCAAAAGAGCTGCATAATGATAACTAAGTGCATGCCAACTTTTACTTGGGATTTGCTATGTAAAAAAGTTTTCCAAATCATTCCACAAGTATCCATATGAAGTATCTTATCAAAGGCTTGAATTTGTCGTTTGGCTAATCTCCCTCTAACAGAAAAAATCTTTTAACCATCCAATGCAGTTTTTAGACGTGTGAAAGAATTGTATTACTTGAAGACCTGATGTGAAACAGGAGCATCTTTTACCTTAAACATTAACAACATAGGTAATCCCAAGAAAAGAATGGGAAGCAATTGCCTGTTCTAACCTTATCTCATGTGATTGCAGATATACTCCCTTCATCCCAAACACAAACACAATACTGAGCAAAAATAGAAAAACAATTCACAATCAACAATCAAGACAACGGAGCTGGGCTTGTGAAGTTGGAACGCTTGGAGTCACAAGTGCACTGGCTTCTAGATTCTTTCATTACACGTTGTGACCTCCGGGTATGAAGCTTGATGTTCACCAACTTACCTGTTAACTGTTAACACAACCAAAGACAAAAAAACAAATCAAATTTTTTAGATAATTATTTAGTTTTGATTGCTCCTTTTAAACTAGAAATCACAAAGGCAGGCAATAAACCACATTCTTGAAAATCTCAAAGTGCTTTTTACCAAGGCACTTGTCCATGTAATTTGCTCGTCTAGTAGTATTAAACATAAAAGTGTGAAACCAAGTACTTCATTTTCAAAGCTTAGCTATCATAAGAACTTCAAGAAAATTATCACTCAGGCAAGATACAAAAAGGAAGGCTAAACAGTTCACTTCTTGATCCTTCTTTCTCCTCTTCAACAACAATTAAAATCACAAACAAAAAGCCAAATGTATTCTAAATAGGATGAACAAGTAACAAACCATTCTCCAAATCAAGTCTTCTGGACCCATAGGTTGAGCTGGATGGGAATATAGGAAATGCCTTGAGAACTGTAATCAAAAGATGTTCACAAAGTGAGGAACAAAATGTCGTTTATGTATTAAATTTCATAAAGAAAGAAAACCACCATAGAAGTTCTCGACATCTCTAATTGGTTAAAGTAACAAGCTTGGAGATCAAATATTCCAACCAATTGATTGGATTGCATCATGTTATTAAAGGGTTATTTCCTTTTATTTGTTGAGAAGTAATGATTTTGTTGTATTTTCCCTTAATGTGTCCTTTCTGGGATGGATCTCTCATCCACTTCTTTTGTAATTTTTTTTTTTTCAATTACTGAAATTTTCGTTTCCTATCCAAAAAAAAAAAAATTCAACCAATGAACCTGATGAACAAAAGAAGTACTACCACAAGTATCTAGAACTTATTTGCAGAATCAAACCTTAGCTAAGTTCATTTGCATTGCCCTGATTTGAGCAGGACTAACACTTCTGAGGAATTTTAAAAGTGATCCCGGCTGCTCAACGTCGCTCGAAGAGACAAACAAAGCTATCTGCAATAAATTGACAAATGTAAAAGCCTTAGCAACCCAATATCAACTGTTTTTTATTGGCTAAGTGGAAGTTCTAGAAGAATAAAATCTCCAGAAGACCACATGGCAGGGGAAATTCCTAGTACACACGCAATCAAAGAAGTGCCACTGACTCAACAGAATCGAAGAAATTACCCAAAAAATTTTGAAAGGTTGATTGTACTTGGATATCACACCTTATTGCAAATAGAAGTTAAAATTTGTACTCAATCAAATGTACTTCAGCTTATCACCCAATACCAACTGTTGAAGGAAAGGAAACCAAAATAAAGACACAAAGACAAAGATGAGATACTTTGCAATTCAAATGATGCAATCACATTGTTTTATAAGCTATGCCTGCTGTGGCCAAACTGTTAACATAATTGATTAACAAACATATAGAGAAGGAATCAACTCTCGAGTTTTCAAATTCTTGATATGAACAAGAAGATTCGTCAAAATTGCCAGAGAGGGTAGACAATAATATATAATTCATTCCATATAACTGAAAGGATTGGCAGTTGATAACGCAATTTAAGCAGTGAATCTTAAACAATAAAACATGAAATTATATCCTCCTCCTTTCGGAAGGTGCTCATTAGTTTAGCTTAATACATGGTTTACCACACAAGCAACTAACTTCCTTTTTCCACAGTTCTGCTTCTGTTTGTCACATGAATTATGAATGTGTGTGCAAGTACATTTGTACAATCCAGAAAAAAGATTTAAATTTAATTTACGCTCAGAATATCAATGCAACCCCTCTTATCTAAAACCGTGTACAACTTAAAAATACAAGTTACAAAACTCGACTTATTGCCCCTTGATAATCATCCTTCACTTCTACTCCACTTTTCACCCCATCATCTTATGTTAGTGCTTTTACGAGATACATCCTAAGAAGAAACTAGCACCAAAAACTTAAAAGGGTATACCTTTTGATAATCAAGTATTCCTTCAAAGGGAATCTCTAGTTCATCACTAATAATAACATGAATACACCCACTAACATTGTACGATCCTGAAACAAGATTTAAATTTAATTTATCACTAATAATAAAAGTTGGACATAGGCAATAAATAGACTTGATAACCAAAGAAGCAACTCACTCTATTAAAGAAGTACAAGAAGAAAGGTACACAGTGAACATTGTAAATTAAACAACTTGAAATTTACTTGTGCATGCCACTCTAAGCTGCTGCTTTTCCTGCCTCTCCAGCACTCCCCTTCTCTATAACTACACCATCAGCACCATTAAGTTCTGACACAAGTTTAGCACATATCTTTCCTCCCTGAAAGTAAAACACATTAAATTATTTTGCACCTAGTGATGCACACAATAACCACAAGCCAATCCAAATGTCATCCAAAGAAGTAATATTACGAGTTAGGAAAGATGATGGAAGAAATCAAATCTTGATGGCCTACCAAAGAGTAATGTCATAGGCCCGAAGGATGTGATGGTTAGAAACACTTAATAAAAGTCAACACAACAGCTTAAACCAAACTACCATGGGTCAGAGATGTGGGTTTGTCCAGACTGCTGATTGTAAACATAGATCAAAGTATATGTCCTAATAACACGGTTTTCTATCAAAATATACTGACAATAGCTCTTCACATCACAATTATTTTCTTTGACATTCTTCTGATTTTTACTATCTCAACCAAGGATTGTCCAAAGACTATTTAAGGTCAATTATCCTCTGATTTTGTGACCAAACTGCGTTGTAATGTCCAGACATTATGACCACTACCATAATTTAAAACTGCAAGTGATGGTCATTTTGTTCTTAAAGAAACAATCGGTTGACACTTTACAACATCATTTACTTTCTGTAAATTATCACAATTGTCATCAGATCCCATCTGGATATGTGTTGAAAGGTAACAAATGTGTTTTCCCATCTATTAATTATCACAAAATGTGCCATTCTGCATGTCATCAATTATTTTTCAACCAACTCTCTGAAGTACTCGTGAATCTAACTTACTATCACAATCATCTTTGAACAATTTCACACTACCATATCATGAAATCGTTTACATCAGGACATTTTATTCTCTTTTGAGAGATTTGTTTTTGTGTGAATGTAATTTTAAGTGAATATACATTTAGTTGCAGTCATGATCGAATCCCTAGAGGCTACAATAGCCATATTGCAAAGAAATATTTGGGGGAAAAAATTACTAGCTATATTGCAAGTCCATAAGACAAGCATAATGTCAAGTATACTTTCAAACAGGAAAAATAGTTCTAAGCTTATATACTACCAACAATACCACCATATCAAATGAAAAAACTCAATATAATTCATTTGTTTGTCTTAGCCGAAAGTCTTACAGCATTTCTCTTCAGTCTTCCACGAAAAAGTAGCAGTGTGCTTCTATTAGATTCAATTTCTAACAAGCATTTTGCATCACATAGATCGACATTTGGGGCATAGGGAAGTATCATGTCTTTCTCAAGCCAAACTTGTCCAGGCTTGTACCTATAGGTTTAAGTATAATCACACACATCAGAAGCTACAATAAATTATATATTTTGGATGCATTCGCAACTTGAGTCAGATATTGACCAGTTTCCTGTCGAGTCCATATCTAGTAGCAGCCCAATTGCATTCTTCATAAATCTGCGGACAGACTTGAAAGACCAGGGATGATGACCCGAAAGTATGTGGTCTCTTCCTTTAGATCGTTTCCATGCAGGTTGCTCCTTGACCCACTTCAGAGCTTCATCCAATCCCCTTTGTGTTAGAACTTTAGAGCACATAGGCAAGTGCTATATTATGTTAAAGATTAAAGCTTTACCACATTAATAATATAAGTTCATGTGAAATATACTGGCGATCTCTTCCAGGCAAGTTATATCATTGCAACTATAATTAATAGAAATCTCCATATAAAAAAGACAACTAGAGGACCACAAATTTTCTCGTGGTTGTTAACTGCAATGATGCAGAAAATGAGTAAAAGAATAAAAGCCTATGAAAAGAGGCAGATGCACATGTGGTCCACTTCCAAATATTTGGGCTATGCACATGGTTAAACACATGTCATAAAAGATCATTCGTTTGAGTCTCTGTGTAAGTCAATTTTTGTTCCATAAATCAAGCGATCAAACCAAGTTGAAGTAGGTTTCTCATAGCTGTGTGGTGCTTGAGGTAACCACCTTGATGCTATACAACAATGGAATACAGTTGGGGAAAGTGGAGATGAAAAATAGTTTTTAGTAAGAAGCACTCCTCATGACCCTGGTATTATGCACATTGAATGATACCAAACATATCCAAACACCCAAACACCATGTAGAGTTAGTCCTTCACTACTTTCAGCTCAAGTTTTTTAAAAGAGCAATAATATTTACCATTGCCTAGTGGGGATGAGATCCCTAATCCTCCATAAATAAACTGCATCATCACAACATCAGGACAAATGAATGCTAAGAGAATGTACTTGCAGGAGCCACCTTCAAGGTAATAACTTTTTTAGGTAAAGGTTATACTTTTGCCAGCCTATTTAAATCCAGTCTGTCTTATAAAGGTATCTGTTTATCTGATCCAACCATCTTATTCCAGACTGTTAGGCAAAATTTTGAATATTTTGCCGAAAATGACTTCACTCATATAACAAAGATTTATACGAGTTTTATTAAATGTATGTTTGACCTATTCCAAATAGTATATATCCGTTAATTTTAATCTCTTGCTTCGAGAGAACACCCTTTGATTCTAACGGAAAATTATCACATGTTACCATTTACACCACAAGGACATTTTATTTGTGATGGTGGCTGGACCTAGGTTAATTGCCTAGGCTTCTCTACGTACTTGTTATTGGGATCAAGCCGATTCGTAGATCGGGAAGGTTAAATTTTTTTTGGGGTAAGATAAACAGGTGGATGACCCATTGATCTTGAATAAAAAAATGTCCATCATGTTTGAAATGAGTAAATGACCCTTTGGTTTGATATGGGTGTAAGACCCATTTGGCTTACAAGAACAATTTTAGGATTTGTGACTGCGGATGGACTTGAAAGACCAAAACAGAATTTTTTTTTTCTTAAAATGGTCTTTGAAAGACCAAAGCAAAATTGTTTTTAAAATGGTCTTTAAACAGATTTTTTTTTTTTTTACAATGGTCTTTGAAAGACCAAAGCAAATTTTTTTTTTAAAACAGTCTTTGAAAGATCAAAACAGAATTTTTTTACAATTTAAAGACCAAAGCAAAATTTTTTTAAAATGGTCTTTAAAAGACCTGAAGTCACTGCCATTTTTTTTAAGGGTTTGCTGCAACATTAAAAAGGTTTGTAACAAGCCAAATAAGAGTTTAAAACTCGACTACGCCAAAAACTCACAACCAAAGACCAAAAATCTAATTCAAGATAATTTTGAGGAGGTTTGTAACAAGCCAAATGAGAGTTTAAAACTCCATTAAGCCAAAAACTCACAACCAAAAACCAAAAATCTAATTCAAGATAATTTTGAGTAATTAGAAATTCCTCTAAATTACATAAATAGAGGGGACTTATACACTAGATTATGGTTTTGAAAGAGTCAGAGACTCTGGTGGATGAAAGAAGTGGCTATTTTTTTTTTGTATTGCAGCAACATTTTGAAAATTTATAAACTCCTTTGGTTTGTTTTGCTTTGCTGCCAACTCTTGCAGGAGTGAAAACCCCCAAATCAAATTCTTTGCCTCAATTTCTTTTCCTTGAACCCACTGCCCACTGCCTCGTAAAGTTTGCTTCTCTTCTTTCTAGCTTTTTTTTTTTACCCATCCATTTGCCGAAAGAGTTGAAGATGGCAAAGCTCTTGCCAATTCTCAAAAGAGTTTGAAACTCTTGTGGTTGCCCCCAAACTCTAGGAGTTTAAAACTCCTGTAATTTGTAATTTTGGGAGGATGGATATAGCCGAAATTGCTTGAATTGCTGCCATCAAAGATCCAAAAAACTTAACAAGAAAGTGGGTGAACAGATTTTTTTTTTCTTTTTGCCTTTCTTCCTTCTCCTCTCTCTTTGCTAAAAATTTCCCTTTCTCCTTTGCTCACTTTTTTTTTCTTTTCTCTTCTTTTGATAACCGTCTGAAACTCCTCCCGATCTCTTCTGCCCATTGCCTTCCTCTTTTATAGTGGAGTTGCACTTGATCATGCATAGACATAGTGGGGTAGGTGTCCAATTACATGGGTTTAGTGGCCTCCACATATTCTGCAAGCTGCGTTAACTTCCCCCACTTCATTTTAATTCTAGTCTGTGGGTATTTTACTAAACCCCATTATTTGCTTGATGGGTTATCTCTTGGAATTTTTAGGTATATATAATTCCTGTACACAACGACATGTGAGTAGCGGTTGAGAAGTTTATGGCCACAACCGACATCTAATTCTCAAAACTCAAAAGGAATATATTTTATTTAGAATTGGTCAAATTGAAATGTGAAATTTGGCAATTGAGTTTGAGGGGTCAAGTTAACGATAAATAATTCTATGGAACCACGCATCGACCATGAACCCGTCATTGACCTCTTAAAATAAAATTTTGCATCGAAATTAACGAGTGCTGAATTTTTTCGTTTAACAAAGGCAATCAAATCTAACTAATTGTATCAAATATCAATTAGAACAACGATGACAACAGACATACCAAATTTGTCAAAAAACTAGAAGTATCAAAAAAACCAACAACAAAAATCATAAATAGGATATCATAACATGATAGGCAAAATGCTTCATAACCCACCCCTACATCAGAATTATAACCATGATTGAAATTACCCATCAGGGTTGTCACAATTTCTGTTGGAAAAAAGTCAAATGCAAGACTTTTTACCCAGCTTTATACTTTTATCATAATCTCTCTTCAAAATTCAAAATATGAAGTTACCAAGGCACAATCAAGAGTCTCAGACCAACAAGTCAACAACAAACCAAGGCACCATCTGATCGATGTTAGCCTAGAAACAAATGTTTAAAACATACTTATAGAGGGAGAAAAAAATGTCAGCCAATGAGGAAGCAACACCTCACAAAGCATGTGATAGAGTGCGCCTAGGATTTGAGGAATACCGGTCACCAATGTCAAAACGTTAACCACAATAAGCCTAAGACTTGTGACTTGTGACTAAACACAAGAGACAGACCAAAAAACTCAGCAGAAGACTTGCGATAAGGTCCAACCAACCAGTCCATTATTCCATGCTAATGGTTCATACATTCTTTTTGGGCCGAGTTGCTAACGACATAACCAAGCATTGAGGTGTGTCCAACCTTATGCATTCACAATGATGGGATTGACATCTCCACTGAATACACTCAAGCATTCAAGATGGGCTTACTGGTGGCTCGTCGCAATGGCCTATTACGACTAAATAGAGCCTGTCTACTTGTGGAAGCTTACAAATAGGTCAAAACATTCTCATATAGCTTGCTTCCAGGCACTAACATAGGAATACCTCAGGTGTTGAGGATTACCTAATCTTCAAGGTAATCCATGAACTTGGATTTTCGAGATTAATCCTTAAAAGAGAATTTCAAGCATGTCCCTGCTTGGCTTGGTTTAGCAAGGCCCTAGTAGGAGGCTTAGCAGAGTTCTGCTAGGGGAGAGCATGTATCAGAAGCAACTCATCAAGGGAACCTCAATTCTTTTGAGAGATTACTCTCGCTAAGGAACCATCTAAGACAGGGCCTGAAGTTTTAAAGGATCTCATCATTAGGGAATGTAGAAGAATCAAATAAGGAAAGAGAATCCCACAATCCATCACTGGCTCTCTAATTGTTCTCCCACTAATTTGAAACACAATTCAAAAACACCGGTGAGGCTCAAAGGTACATGTAGTTTCCACACGCACTAAACAGGTTACAACTCTACCAAAACACCTACTCACTCGAGCAACAGAGGATCATCAAGCCAACACCTGCTGCTTGAAACAATGCCCCTTTTGTTGACTGTTCAACTAAAGGATGAACATAAAAAACCATTTTTAGCAGACAAGTAGATGTCATTAATAGTAATTATCAAAAACCAAGTGACATACAAGAATATAAAGCTTTAATGTATGCCTCGAAACGTACTCACACCCTATAAAGTGACTTGCACTGTTGTTACTCCAACAAGAAGAAGCTTATTGTTGTGAAAAACGGAATGTAGAATAGGTCAGCCTCTTCTTGCCGATAGACTCTCACAACACTCTTCAAAAGCCTTTCTGATTCCGGAGTAATCAATAGAATGCTGCACAAAGAAAAAGTAAAAGAAATTTGAATAAAAAAAGTTACCACCGAATCCTAAGAAAATCAAACTTAGTTAAATCCTCTAAAAAATATATTGTTAAGAAAAAATTACTCTGAATTAGAAAACATATTACTACTCCTATTCGATGAGTCGGTGAACAGGATTACCATTAGACATGAGATTTGAAGTCTCTCTATATGTATTTCGAAACAACCAAAGTAAATCGTGGGTGAATTTTGATGGCATCTCGTAAACATAAAACCTAAGAGCTAAAAGTGCCAGTGGCGAGAATAGAGGATAGAATGATTGTTCAAAACACCTCTCAGTCTCTCTTCGACATCAAATCATCCAACTTCTTCACATCCTCTTCGCTCACTATATGCATTTTATCATCTGAAAACCGTATGACATCTCTGATTCTTTGTGGTGGAGGTCATGAATTCTTTGAGTGAAGCCACGAAGGAGTACTCAACTTAAGGATTGAGTTTAGAGATCTGGAAATCGTGGATAAGGCTGGTATGGGAACGAGATGAGAACACAAAAAAGAT